GAAGCTCCGAGGTATGGACTGGGGCTCTAGGCCCCCTTACTTCGCTGGGGAAGTCACCACTGATGGGCGTCCAGCCTGTGCGGGCGCTCGGCATCCGTTCTCTCCGGAACCTCATGAAACGCCGAGCCGTGAGCAGGGCCGGTGCCCTCGGCACCCCCGGGGAGCCCACAGATGACCAGGAACAGGCTCCACCCTCAGGGCCCGAGTGGGCCGGGCCTCGGTATCTTCCCGAGGTCCCCTCGTGATTCTAACGCGTCCCCTGGATTAACCCTGGTTCTCAAACTCCGCGGAGGGCCCCAGCCCTGGGCTTCTGGCTCCGCAGGGCTGGGTGGGCCCAGGAATCAGCATTCTAACCAGTTCCCGCAGCGCTGCTGCTGCTGGCCCAGGGCCGCCCACAGAGAACCCGGGTCGGGCCCGCAGTCCCTCCGGGGTGACCTAGGAAACAGGCGGGTGCCGTGCGTAGGACCCCCCAGCCGGTGATGGGGTGTGGGCCTGTGCACCCTCTGGGGAAATCCCTGACCCCTGTGCCGTTCCCATCTTCATATCTAATGGGTGACAGACCGCCCCCTGCAGCTGTGGAGGGTCACGGAGGTCTCCCATCAGGACCCGAGCCAGGCCCGAAGCGGGTGCCCCATGCCAACCGCTGTGGTTGCTGCGCCTGTCACCTGAAGCCTCCCTCCCTCGGCCCCTGGCCGCACCCCTGGTTCCTTAGGGCCCGGCACCTCCCCCCACACCTGCTGCTGTTTCCCGCGTGCCCCCACCAGACTGAGAGGGCTCAGGAGCAGGGAGCAGCCCGACCACCTGCAGCCCAGGGCCCCGCCCAGCGCCCAGCGCCCAGCGTGGAGCGGAGGAGGCCGTGAGGGAGGGAGGCTGGCACTGGTGACCCGCCTGAGGACCTGAGTGTTGTGAGCGGTCAGGCGTTACAAACCCGGACAGTGTTCCGTGTTTATCCGGTGCACCCGAGTGCCCACGCCAACCCCCCGCGTCCCACGTGGCACGGTCCCGCAGTGCCCCAGCCGCCGTACCACCTCTGGCGCTGCTCTGTGGTCCTGGAGGCTGCCCTCCGTCGGGGACGGCAGGCGCGATGCCCGGCGATGCCCGCCTGCAGCCGGCTCTCCCTGGCGTTTCTCACTTCCCCGGGTGCCACTCTCCTGCCGTCAAGCCGAGTCCCTGAGGGGCACTCCGGAGGGTGAGCACGGGGTGGGCTCCTGGAGGGGCTTCCTCCCATTCTCTCCTCCATCGCTGCCTGCCCACATCCAGCCACCAGGACTCTCCTGGACGGCACCTCCCCGCGGCCCCTGCCCTTCTCGCAGTGGCCAGAGTGACGGCTCGCTCCCTGCCCAGAGCCCTGCAGCGACTTTGCCTCGGCCAGTCTGCGAATACAAACGAAGCCCGCTTGCGGTCTTGCTTCTCTGGACACTCGGCGGCTGCTCTGGGCGGGGCCGGTGGCTCCCGGCTTCTCCCTCCGCGGGACGGCCTCGCCACTCCCTCCTCAGTTCCCCGGGGTTCCTGACCCCACAGCACCCCTTCATGTGCACCCGATGCCGCCTCTTTCTCTCCTGGGTACTCAGTCCTCTCCTAAGTGAGCTTGTCTCAGGAGCTGCCCACCCCCGCGAGGACACAGGCACCTCACGAGCACAGGGAACTTGTCTGTGTCTTCGACACGGTGTCCCCAGGTCCAGCAACATTTGTGAGCTGAGCGATCCGGGGAGTCACAGGTCTCTGGGCTTTGCATTCCGAGAAGGACCAGAATGTCCTGCTCTTCCCAATGCCTTGCACCCTTATTATGAAAGAGCACCAGGGAGGTGTAGCGCCCCCTGCCTTCCAGATCTGGATCCACAGGGACCTTTACCAGGCTGCTGATGACATGGGCCTCCGTCTGAGCCTGGGGTGGTGGTGATGGGCCCATGTCTCTGCCCGGCGGGGCTGAGCCCTACACTCAAATGACAAGTAATGGTGTGTGTGTGTGTGTGTGTGTGTGTGTGTAAAGAGTGCCACCTGGGGGCCGGAAAACAGGGCTGGAGTCTGGCCCCTGGCATGACTTGCAGATGACCTTGGGTACTCACCTCTCTGAGTCTGTTTCCTTGCCTGTAAAATGGGGACAATCACACCTACCCCACAGCCTGGTCATGAGAATCAAATAGGATAACTCACATCCTCACCCCTCTGAGCAGGGCCCCCTGTCTTCTTTTCCAGGGCGCGCTCAGACCCCGGGAAAGTGCCAGCACATAGTAGGTGCTCAATACGTTGTCACTCAAGTTTTCTTGACGGCAGTTTTATTCAAACAAGACAGAGCCCCTGGGAGGAGACCTCAGCGACTTCACAGCGAGGAGATGGAGTCCCTGCGGTGGACCTGTCTGCGCTGGGGGACCTGCTCTAGGGCGGCCGGCCGAGCGTCTTCCCCCCAGAGCGGCCTGCAGCGAGCCTCCCTCTAGACCCCCCTTTGCCCGCTCCCCTCCCTTCAGCCCTGCACTGACCCCGTCTGTTCTCTGTTCTCTGCTCCCTGCACGGGGCCAGGTGTGCCCACAGCTGCCGCTCTGGCCCCTTCCTGAGCTGGAGTTAGAACCTGACAGGCCTGGAATTTACACCTTCACACCGGAAGGGGCGGGTGCATTCCAAGGCAGGAGACCCTCTGACACACCCAGCAAACCTCCCTCACCCCCTGCCCCACCATAGCACTGCCTGCTGACTTCTGTGGAGAGGGGCTGGGGGTGGGCTGAACAAGCAGAAGAGAGGCCGGGGTGCTGTTGGGAACCCCACTCTCTATCTTTCCCAAGTGCTACAGGCTGTGTGTTCTGCTCTACTTGGCTCTCTCTGGGACAGAGACCCGGCTGGGAGGCCGGTGTGACAGGGACACTGACCCTGAGGGTTTTTTTTTAATCCTCACCTGAGGACATTCTTCCATTTATCTTCAGTTAGAGTAGGAAGGGGGGGGGCGAGACAGAGAGAGAGAGAGAGAGAGAGAGAGAGGGAGAGGGGTCGGGAGAGAGAGAGAGGGAGAGGGGTCGGGAGAGAGAGAGAGGGAGGGAGGGAGAGAGAGAGAGAGACAGAAATATTGACAGGAGAGAGACACATTGACTGGTTGTCTCCCGCATGACCCAGGGCCGGGACCGAACCGCAACGAGGTACCAGTCCTTGATGGGAATCGAACCGCTGAGCCAGACTGGCCAGGGCACCCTGAAGGCTTTAATGCTCCAATACTCTGGGGGAAGGGTGGGGGCAGGGCCTCTGGCATTTTTCTCTGAGGCCAGTAGGGAGCCCAGTGGGCTTCATGAAGTTGTATTGAAATCCGTCTGAAGCAGCCCTGACCTCCCGGGAGACTCTGCGCTCTTCACTTTGGCCTGCCAGGCCCTGCCCTGGTCGACCTCCTCCCCACCCTCTCCCCCCTGTCGTCCTTATGCTCAGGGGCTGCCCCGCGGTGCCCCTGGCGGTGGGACATAAAGCCACTGCCTGCGAGTCCTGAAGCCCTAGCGCAGAGTGGCCCCGGAGCGGTAGGTTATGGGGGGGCAGCCTCCCTCCCGTGCCCGTGGCGGTGCCTCCCGCTGCCTGGAAGGTCCCCTTGGAGAGAACAGAAAGGGGTCAGGGCGCTCAGTGCTGTCCCCACGGGCAGCTTTCCGAGGCCGCACAGGAGACCCCTCTGCTCTAGTTCGGGTTATGCTATGCATAGACGTGTCCCCCTGGGAGGGCCTGTCTCCCTCATCCGACGCAGCTCCAGGGCCTGGCGACGCTGGCTCCCCCCTCTACCCCAGAGCCGCCCGAGTGGGAGCTCCCCCCCTACCCCAGAGCCGCCCGAGTGGGAGCTCCCCCTCTACCCCAGAGCCGCCCGAGGGGGAGCTCCCCCCTCTACCCCAGAGCCGCCCGAGTGGGAGCTCCCCCCCTACCCCAGAGCCGCCCGAGGGGGAGCTCCCCCCTCTACCCCAGAGCCGCTGGAGTGGGAGCTCCCCCCTCTACCCCAGAGCCGCCCGAGTGGGAGCTCCCCCCTACCTCAGAGCCGGCCCGAGTGGGAGCTCCCCCTCTACCCCAGAGCCGCTGGAGTGGGAGCTCCCCCCTCTACCCCAGAGCCGCCCGAGTGGGAGCTCCCCCCCTACCCCAGAGCCGCCCGAGTGGGAGCTCCCCCTCTACCCCAGAGCCGCCCGAGTGGGAGCTCCCCCCTCCACCCCAGAGCCGCCCGAGTGGGAGCTCCCCCTCCACCCCAGAGCCGCCCGAGTGGGAGCTCCCCCCTCTACCCCAGAGCCGCCCGAGTGGGAGCTCCCCCCTCTACCCCAGAGCCGCCCGAGGGGGAGCTCCCCCCTACCTCAGAGCCGGCCCGAGTGGGAGCTCCCCCTCTACCCCAGAGCCGGCCCGAGTGGGAGCTCCCCCCTCTACCCCAGAGCCGGCCCGAGGGGGAGCTCCCCCCTCTACCCCAGAGCCGCCCGAGTGGGAGCTCCCCCTCCACCCCAGAGCCGCCCGAGTGGGAGCTCCCCCCCTCTACCCCAGAGCCGGCCCGAGGGGGAGCTCCCCCTCTACCCCAGAGCCGCCCGAGTGGGAGCTCCCCCCTCTACCCCAGAGCCGCCCGAGGGGGAGCTCCCCCCTCTACCCCAGAGCCGGCCCGAGTGGGAGCTCCCCCCTCTACCCCAGAGCCGGCCCGAGCGGGAGCTCCCCCCTGTACCCCAGAGTCGGCCCGAGTGGGAGCGCGCTAACTTCGGGCGACAGGGGAGAAGGAGCGGAGGCAGAGGGGCGGGGCGGGGACGGGGGGGGGGGCTCGGTGGCCTTGCGGGTGGGGGCCGGGGGGCGGCGCCCCGGGCCTCGCTCCCGGCGCTCGCTCGGCGGACGCGGGCCGGCCGGCAGGTGGCGGTGCGCCCTCGGCTGCGCGTCGGCGGCGGGGCGGCGAGTCCCCTCCTCCCGCCGGCGCCCTCCCCGCGCCCGCTCCTTCCCCTGCGCTCTCGCTCGCGCTCCCGGCGCCCTCGGCACTCGCGGCCGCGGTCCCCCTCGCCGCCGCCCGCCGCCTCCCCTCCGCGACCATGGCGCCCCGGGGGCCCCCGCGCCCCGCGAAGGACCCCGGCCCCGCCGCCGGAGCCCCGAGCACCGAAGCGCCGCCGCCGCCGCGCTCGCGGCCGCTCCCGCTGCTGCTGCTGCTGCTGCTGCTGCTGCTGGTCGCCCGCGGGGCGGCGGGGCGCTTCCCCGAGCCCGGGCGCCTGGGTCCCCGCGCCCGGCTGACCCGGTCGCAGCCGAGCCCCCCGGCCGGGCGAGCGCTGCCCGCCGGCGGCGAGGACGCGCAGGAGCGCGACGTGGAGCCCGGCCACCCGGGTCCCGCGCCGGGTCCCGGCGAGGACGGAGCCCCCGCCGCGGGCCAGGGGCGCTGGGCGCGGGCGGCGCCGGTGCCTGGAGCGGCTTCGCCGGCTCGGGTCTCACTCACCAGCTCGTCGTTCGTGCTCAAGGGAGACGCGACGCACAACCAGGCGATGGTGCACTGGACGGGCGAGAACAGCAGCGTAAGTGACCTCGGCGCGCCCGGGGGTCCCTGCCCCGACACCTCGTAGCCCCCCACTTCCGGACCGCCCGGCGCTCACCGGCGTCCTTGGCGACTTGGGGACTCGAGTCACCTCGTAGGCCCCCCGACTGGCCTGTGGCCACCGGTTACTTGGGGAGAGATCCCCAGATATGTGGGCACCCTGCTTCACCTAGGGGGACATGTCCACAGATTTCTGGCTTCCTGAGCTACCTCGGGGGCTCTCCCAGTGGCCTCCAGATTCCAGGCTATGGGGATTGGGGTTGTCTCCAGAGGCTTCGAGAGGCTGGCCACCTTTGTGCTCCCCCAAGACCTTTCTAATTATCCCCCAACTTGGTGTGGTGCCCGGAGCACCTTGGGACTCCACCCTGTCGCTCAGCCGTGGGTTCTGGGGTTTTTGGCTGTAGGACCCTCTCCACCCTGGTGTACCCGACTGGGTCATGGCTCCCTCACAGGTTCCAGGAGTTGTCTGGTCAGCTTGGTATCCCATTCTGGGGCCACCCCCTCCCCGATTCCCCTCTTGCGACTCTCAGCTACCTGGATGCACCTGGATGTGGGATTTCTACCCACGGAGCTGCCCCCCCCCTTGTACCGGCCACTGCAAACTCCCTTTCCTCCCGCTGCGCTCCCCACCACTTTGGCCTGGCTCCAGCTGGAAGTTCCACAGGACACCCCTGCCCTGCAAGGCCACTTCAGTGAGGGCCGTGCCTCCTTCCACCAGTGAGGTGGCTCCTGCCCCTCCAGGATCCTGTCCCGTCCTTTTTGGTGCTGCGTCTCAGGGCTTGGGGGTGCTCTCCTGTTCTTCCCCTGGGGGCTGCCTTCCGCCTGGCTTCTCCCCCCAGCCCTGAATGATGACCTCCAGGCAGTCATGGTGGGTCGTTATGGTTTGGAGAGAGGGTGGTGCAAGGAGCTGCAGCTGTGTGTGTGTGTGTGTGTGTGTGTGTGTGTGTAGGACTGGTTGTGCGTGCTGGGGGCATGGCAGTCTCTGCTCACTCCCCTCCATCATTGTTCACGTGGGTGTCCCCAGTGGCTGGTTCCCAGCTCTCCTCCTTGACCACTGCTCCCCAGAGTTCGGAGGAGGCAGCACAGGGTCCGGACCCCTGCATGCTTTGGGAGTGGGACCTCATCTGGGTGCCTCTCTCACCGGGAAAGGGGTGTAACCCGGGCTGGTGACACTTTCACCCAGCCTCTGTGTCCTCTGCCCAGCCCTCTGGGCTGCTCCTTAGTGAGGGTTCTGCTGAAGGAGGGGGAGGGTGGGTGGACGAATGGTTGGGGGACAGCACCTGGTGGGCTTGGTTGTCCGGAGCCTCGGGCTCTGCGGCTCCCCTCCCGACAGCTGGGGCTGCCCGCACAGACACCAAGTCTCTGGTGTTTGGCCATTTCTGACATTGTCCAGCCAGACTAGAGACCCTGGGGATAGGGTGGGGCGGGGTGTGGAGCCCACTTCCTGGGCCCACTGGCCAGCAGAGGGCTCTGGGAGCTGAGGGGGTGCTTCACAGAAGGTAGCAGCCCCCCCTCAGAAGAGCCCAAGGAGGCCCTCCTCCCTGCATCTTGAGAGAAGGGTCAGACCCCAGCCATGCAGCTGGGCCCAGCCCTTAATGCACCCCAATATTAGAGAACAAATCATGTCCCATGTGGTAAGTTTTAATTTACGGAGTGAACCCGGAAGCCAGTAACTCGAAGGAAGAAATTCATGTGAGAGTCAGTCCTGTGGATCCAATAGCTAACTCACGCCCACCCCCCACCGGGATTGGTGGGCCCTTTGTCATTTTAGCCTCATGAAGGGAAGGGGGTGAAGAGGGGGAGAGACTCAGTGAGGGGTGCAGGCCAGCCCCCCATTTTGAGCACAGAGCCTGACGACCGTGTGGTTTCCTTGGAGAGAGTGAGGAGGGGCTGGGACTCGTGGGGCTGAGATCCTGGGGGGGGGGGGGGGCCAGAGGAACCTCACTTTGCTCCTTGGGGACAGTGGCTGGGTTGCGTGACTGGCTGGGCTGTATGTGGGCTGCTGGCACGTGAATGCCAGGAGAGGGGGACATGGGACTGGGGGCGCTGGCTTTCCTTTGTTGGGGGGTAGGAAGTCCAGAGCTGGAGACGCACCTCTCCTCCGGCCACCGAAAAGGCGGCTCTGGGATGATGTGTGGTGACGTTGGAGGGCAGGCCAGCCCGCACTTGGACACCTAGGAGGCGGAAGTGGTCTCAGGTCTGTGGGTAAAGGAGGGCGGGCAGCAAGGAGATGCTGAGCCCCCGCACCCCCCCCCCGCACCCCCATCCTCTGGAGGGGAGACAGGCCTTCTCCCTGAGAAGCCCACCTTCGGCCTGGGGGCAGCGGTGCTGTGGGGCCTCACCTGGCCCGGGCCGAACTCAGAGCGGAGTGAGAGCTGGAACCAAGTGCCGAGCACATCCATTTCTCTAATTGTTTCTGGGCTTTGGACTCCTGGCCCACAGAGGGCCTTAGGCACGCCCTCTGCCCGCGGTGCTTAGCTGGCAGCCAGGGCCAGGGTTGGAGCCAGGACTCCGCACTGGGTGTCACCTCCACTCCAGAGCACCGTCTCGCACAGCTGCGGCCGGGAAGAAACCAACTTGAGGCCAATTTGCTGAGCGGGATCTTCCGAAATGGTTATTTCACTCGATTTGCCCAGATACTGAGACCCGGGAAAATGCTGTCTGCAGACATGGTCCTTGGGAGCCGAGAAAGCGTTGACCTTACCACGTCAGGTGTTTTTTAACGTTCAGAAGCGTTTGCCGAGAGGCATCGGCTTTTTAAGTGGGGTTTCGGAGCACCTGCCAAAAGGAACCGCTGGACTCAAGCTGGCTCCGAGGAAGGCCCTGGTGACCGCAGCGCCCGGAACATCTGTGCGCCTCCCTCCCGGCCGGGTGTCCTCCCCGCCCGCGGAGCTGTGGAAGGGGACTTGCTGGGAAGCGAACACTGCCTGTCTGTCTGACGCTTAGCTGTAGAAACAAAGTGTGATGTGTGAAATCAATGTTTCATTGCAGCCGACCAGCGCTGCCTTTGAGGTCCAGAGTGGCTGTGCAGAGGCCTTAGGTTTGTCTCCCGAGCTGCCCCCGGAGGCCGAGGGTGATTTCAAGGTGGTACAGAGCGCTGGTCTCTGCTTCTGCGGGCCGTGGCCTCAAGCTACCCCCGTGGGATTGTGCTGGGCCCCGTCCAGTTGGACCGCTGCTGGGGCATCAGTTGCTTATGTTAAGGACAGCTCACCTCTGCCCCCGTCACGGCACGCGAACCTCAGCTCGGATGGACGGGCACGGGAGCTCCCCGTAACCACCGGCCAGGCCCTTTGCTCGCTTTGTCTCTGTTCATCAGCACGGCAGCCCTCCCCTCCCCCACTGTCCACATCTGCTCTGTGCTGTGTCTGCAGGGTGAGGGATCGGAGAGGAGTTGATGCCGAGATCATTCCGAGCTGATTACCCATGTTCTCTGCTCCGGGCGTTGGGGACCCAGGGAGCCAGAGCCCCTGGTCGGAAGGGAGCTTCTGAAGGTGTGAATTGGGTCGTGACACCTGCCAGATGTTAAGTCCTCAGGGCCACCATGACAAAGTGCCCTGGACCTCGGGCTTGAACAACAGCCGTGTATTCTCTCCCGGTCCTGGAGGCTGGAGTCCAGGGTCCAGGTGCGGGCAGGGTGGTCCTCCCGAGGCCTCTGTCCGTGTCGTGTAGACGGCTGTCTCCTCCCCGTGTCCTCAGAAGCCTTTCCTCCGTGCATGTCCGTGTTCTCATCTCTTCTTATAAGGACACCAGTCCTATCAGATCAGGGCCCACCCCAGTGATCTCATTCTACCTCAGTTCCCTCTTTGAAGACCTGATCTCTAGAGTCACATTCTGAGGTGCCGGGGTGAGGACGGGAACACGGGGTCACTTTGGTGCCCCAGTTCAGCCCGTCACAGCAGGGGAGGGGTCTCAGTCCCCTCTGCAAGGCCTGAGCTTAACACCCAGAGCTCAGAGCAGCGCAGTGAGGAGAAGGGACGGTCATGGACGGCTGGGGCACGAGTTGAGGTCAGCGCCTAATGGATCCGAAACGCGAGGCCGGAGAGCGAGGTGGCAGTGCGGGGTGGTGGTTATCGCCGTTCGATTAGGCTTCGGAGCCTGCTGGCCTGGGTGTGGTGCCCATTTGCCCGGGGCCCCTAGCTGGCAAGGAGCAGGGCCATGGAAGTGAGCCTCGGACGCAGGCTCAGAGGGATGGCGATGGCCCGGGCCCCGGAGGGCGGGGGGAGAGGTCTCTGGGTGAGGTGGGACCGGGTGTGGCTCACCCCGCTCTGCCCTCCCTCCTTCCGGGAGCAGCCCTGGCTTCGTGGCTCACTGCCAGCCCACGGGCGGAGACCGTGAAGGCCACGCAAAGCTCTTCAGGCTCGTGAGTGAGCGGGTCCCAATCCGGCGATGACGCTGACTCGGAGCCTTGCGTCTGCTGCCTGTGGCTTGGTGATGGCAGCGCCATCCTGCTCTGGGAGGTGACCGTGGTGGCTGCGGGGCGCGAGGCCTTGCACTGGAGCCTGCTGACTTTCCCCGTGACCGCTGTGCATCCCAGGCCACCGCGTGCTGGCCTCCCAGCATCTGGGGCGGGTACTGGGTTGCAGAGAGAGAGACGTCCGGTTTCTGGGGGTCTGCACTGTGGCTGGTCAGTTTGGATGTGGTGGGCATCTGCCCAGACACTTCTCGGTCATGGCAGCCTTCGCCAAGAGTGACCAGTGGCCACCTAGAAAGAGACAGAGGCAGACAGAGGTCAAGCGACTTGGTGACCAGTGCCTGTCAGGAAGCTGGCTGAGTGCGCAAGCCCATTGGGGATGCAGGGCTGGGCGGGTGGGTCAGGAATGACGGGACAGCAAGGGAAGCCTGTGTTGGGGGACAGGTGACAGCACATGGAGACGTGAGCTGGGTGCGTGAGTCTAGGATGGTCCCGCACTGTCCTTCTCAGGAGGATGCCGCCAGGGAGACCCAGGGTCTTCTGCATTCTTTCTGTGCCAGGAGAGACCA